GCCTGCCCTTGCTCAGGTACATTTTTGTGCGGGAGAGGGTCACCATCGTCCACGCCCACAGCTCCTTCTCCGCCATGGCTCATGATGCCCTCTTTCACGCCAAAACCATGGGGCTGCGGACGGTGTTCACGGACCACTCCCTCTTTGGGTTTGCGGATGTCAGTTCGGTGCTTACCAACAAACTTCTGACAGTGTCCCTGTGCGATACAAACCACATCATCTGCGTCTCGTACACTAGTAAGGAAAACACAGTGCTGCGAGCGACTTTGGACCCTCGGATAGTCTCTGTCATCCCCAACGCCGTCGATCCCACCGACTTCACTCCAGACCCATCAAGGAGGGAAGACAGCACGATAACAATTGTTGTTGTCAGCAGACTAGTTTACAGAAAAGGTAATGAGGGAGAAAATGTAAGTTTATTTTGGTTGTTTTTTTCTTTAGGATATGGTAAGAAAAGTCTTGGTTAGGTACCACTCAGGCAGTGTCCATGGTATGGATTAGATTTCAAATGGGACTTGTAAGGAGATGGTTCTGAGCTTTCATATCTGTGCGTTCAAGAAGAAGCAGTGTACATTTCAGTTTGCACATATTGGGCTCAAGGTGTGTTTCTTTTGTAATACTGAAGGTACTGAAAAATGAAATTTGTAAAATGGAAGGTTTGGCTTATATTTGGGGTATGATTTAGGCCCTAATCTATATATTCTGTTAGAAATGTTTTAACTGTGTTTTGTTTTTTCAAGCAACAGCAACTTAAGTGATTTTTTTTTCATATTTGTCTTATAACAGATCACAAGTTGTCTTTTTTTTTTCAGAATTTTGTGTTCAGCAGTGTAACTGTTTTCAAAAGCCTTTTTTTTTATTCTCTTGAATAGAGCTATAGCAGTAGCCTACATCATGATAAGTTCTAAAATCAGATACAATAACAGCTTGCCCTAAATTTTCTACTCTTAGGTATAGATTTGCTTAGTGGTATAATCCCGGAGCTCTGTCAGAAATATCCAGAGTTACATTTCTTAGTTGGAGGAGAAGGACCAAAACGAATTGTACTGGAAGAAGTCCGGGAAAGATACCAGCTACATGACAGGTTTGTTCTGTGCATGTCTATGACCCTTCAGGGTACTTTGGAGGTGGGGAAGACAACAGCAACGCCCTTTCTTCCTAACCCCAAAAACTTTAGGCTGGAGAAGATGAGAACTATTGAAGGCAAGCAGATAGGCCAGACACTAACTGAGGACTTACGGAGTTCGTCTTTGATCCTGCAAGTTACTTAATAGAAATAGACTCTGTATAAACCTTCACTTGAGTCAGAGAAAAGCTGACTTAGACATAAAATGATCATATTTCTCTCTGAAACTGTGATGCTTGGATCACATGTCACCATATGGCATAAGGTGTTAGCTAGTTCGTGTCGCTGCTGCTTGTCAGGATGACTGCTAGTCCTTTATTTTATTATTTCAGTGTGAAACTCTTCAGAGTAGTGCTTATCTTGGATGTGTTCTTGTGGTACTACAAACATGTTTCCTGGTGTTAACAAAATGTTTCTGTGATGCATTTGTGTATTTCTTTGTGGTTTTCTTGTTGTTCAAAGAGGACAAGGTTCTTAATTTTCCACTTCCTTTTCTCTGTTTTCTGTTGCTCGTTCTGTACATCAGTCAGGAATGGCTCTGATAAATTTGTTAGTATCACTCTTATTTCACACTTTTCTGTTCTCTAGTATCTCTTCAGAATTAAGAGGTCCTGATCATTGTATCCTAAATACTTTCCCCCCACACACTTTGAGATTGATCAGACCTGACATTGAAAATTCAGATAATGCATCTAAACAAAGAAAGGATGACAAATCTTAATTATTAACTGCATGAAGCCATGTTCTCTTACAGAACTGGAACTTCTTGGTAGCAATGTTTTGAAGTCAGTTGTCATTTAAACAGAGCAACTTCTCCCCCCCAGCTTTATTTTCAGAAGTTTCTTTTAATGTGAAAATAAGAAGCAAAGTCTTCTATTTCCTTATTGCCAGAAAAAATCAGAGCAAACAGAACAAAGATGTCTGTGTTCCTTCTCTCACTATATAAGTGTGAACCATTGGTACATTTTTCAAAATATGTGTAATACTATACAGCATTATTACAGTCCAAATCTAGTGGGCTTGTTGTTTTGGTTATTTTCCTTATATGCAGGGTACGTCTCCTAGGAGCCTTGGAACACCAGGATGTTAGAAATGTTCTAGTCCAGGGGCACATTTTTCTCAACACTTCCCTCACTGAGGCCTTTTGTATGGCAATTGTGGAAGCGGCAAGCTGTGGTTTACAGGTAAAAAAAAAAAATATATCAACTATCTAGAATGCATGGATCCAATTTAAACAAAGTTCATGATTAAATAATATGTGCTTGCTACATTTGATTTCATCTGAGGCTCTGTCTTTACAAAGGTGAGCAAATATTATCCCCATTTACAGATCACCTGGAAGCTGAGACAGAAGGGTTAACCGAAACTGCTTAAGCTCCCAGAAGAAACTTGTGCAGAATTGGGAATAACATGTAGATCTGCTAACACTCAGTTCTCTGAAATAACCAGACTGCCTCTCCAAAATGCTATTTTGTATGTACAACTTTACAGAGTTTTGGGGTAGTTGGTGTTCATGAAGGTTTACTTCTATACTACTTTTAGGGTAGCTGCAGAAAAATGGTACATAAGCATGGGTGACTGGTCTGTCAGGCATGTGGAATTACCAGACTTAACCATTGTACTGGAACTGTTTTCTTCCTGCACCACAAACTGACATCCCTTTTCTTATATTACTGAGGATGTATTTACTTTGCCATGTAGGAATTCAAGACAAGAGTTGAAGAGAGAATAAACAGTAAAAGCTCTTTCTGGCAAATTTGCAACCTAAAAATGTTAAATCAACAGCCATAAAGAACTTATATTCTCACATTAAAATATAAAGAAACTTTTTTAACATACAGACTGATGAAAGTATCTGATATACAAGAAGTACAGAAAAATGTGACAGGCTTTTTTTTTTTTACTCTGATATCTTTTGACAGTAGTTACTATGTAGTTGTGGTGGTTATTCCCCTGTTATCTGTTTACTTCTCTAGAGTTGATAAACTTTTGCAGTTTTTTAATTGTTGCCTGCTGTTTAGAGATGATTACTTAATGTGAGTCCTGGTTGTTTCTGATTTCCCTTTAAAAATAATAATTCAGATTAAAATTACTGAACTTATAAAAAAATTATTGTAAATATTCATTAGCCCAGAAAGCATAAACTGAAGGCGGTTGTGGTGAAACTGTCCTTTCCAAGTAGCAGTTTTCATAAGGGACTATGGAATGAAAGTCCAAAATACGGTTGTATAGATTTAGTTATGTACTGTAACAAACACCTTTAGGTCTCATAAAACATTAATTGGACCAAGTCTTCTGTTTTACCATGCTACCAAAGAATCATTCATTGTTAAAGGTAATCTGCTATGCTAGGTCTTATTCTAGGGCCTTTAGTTTGTATACAGGTAAAATTCCCAAAGCATTACACTGGTCTTTGCCTCCATGGCAACCACTCGTATTTATTTTTTTTCCTATTCTTATTAAGTGCTGCATCTAAACAGTGTAATAGCATTCATCACTCTATTTTACTGTTATGCAGCATATGTGCTATTTCTGTTTTTTCTTTCAAAGGTGATAAGTACGAGAGTTGGCGGGATTCCTGAGGTGCTTCCAGAAAATCTCATTATTTTATGTGAACCTTCCGTGAAATCTTTGTGTGACGGATTAGAAAAAGCTATCGCCCAGCTCAGATCAGGAACACTACCATCTCCAGAGACTGTTCATAATAAAGTGAAGACATTTTATACATGGAGGAACGTTGCAGAAAGAACTGAGAAAGTATGTATAACCACTTCTTTTAAATTCTTTTGAAGTACATTTCTGAAACAGTTGCTGCTTTGGAACATTAGTATATACATTCTTGGTGTAATTTTTCAATGTGCTTCCTGTCAAACATACATGGTTTAAAAAAGGTTCAGAAAATACTTCTCCACCCCACCCCAATACATCCCTAGACAGGTGTGGTTTTTTTTCTGTTTGCACTTTTTCCTTTGCCATAACTGCTGATAAATATTCTGAAAAACAGCCTAGATCTTTAGTTACATAATCTACTTATATATTTTTTTCCAGTCTTCACATTAAGTAACTTTTCTGGAATAACTGGAAAACATTCTGTATAACATGTGTGAAAAGGAAAAGAGAGAGTTCATGATGAAATTTTGTCTTCCATGTGCTAACAAATGGCATAAAATTATGAGAGGTAGTTTAATGCTGGTAGGCTGAACATAGCTGAATTTACATAAGGTATGGATGAAATGAAAATAAATTATCACACTCCTAAAGTCATATTTCAGAATTAGAACTGCGCTCCAGCGTAAAAAATCTGCCCTTAGTGACAAAAGTTAGGTGCAATAATGTTATAAATGCCTGTGGAGATCTGTTGCTTCTGACTTCAGCCCCTATGTTTTAGGTGATGGAGTTGCTGAATCACATGCCTCTTATTACATTGTAGTGTACTCATATGTCTCCTTTAAGTATTACGTGCAAGCAGTCTATTTTACCATTTTCAAGTACCGTCAGTACAATTAATTTTATGATTTTGTAACTGCCAACATTTCAATTGCAAAGTTTTTATAGAAGTTAGTCTAGACTACAGTTTCCTTTATAGCCCTTTCTTAAAAAAATAAAAAACCTCTGTGAAGGAAAATGTTAGTATGATTGGAAGAAATATGCATGGAAGCTACATTGTACAAAGGACAGTTGTTTGTTAGCTCATTGTTTAGTTGCCCGTAGGATGAAGTCTGTAATGTTCTCAAGAAAAAAACTCTGTACCCTTTAAGCCTTTTTATGAATTGTGTGTAGTGGGTATTGAAGTTTCTGTTCTATGAAACACAGGACTATTTTTATTTTTTTTAGTGGTTGTGGTTAATATGTATCACTACTAGTGTGTATCACTAATAGCTTTTCACATTTATTGAATTTTGAGAATTTTATGAAGAACTAGTAGTGTTTCTTTAAATAAAAATCACTATCCTATTATGATTTGCTTGATTGTTCAAATACAGAGATTTGGAAGATTGCCAACTCATCTATGAGTTCATCCATCTTTGTGTTGAAAATCTAGTAATTGCATGTTCAGACTGTTTTCCTATGATTACTGTGAATATGAGATTAGAGCCCATTCAATTAATTAAAAAAACAACCCTCTCTATATAATGTTACATGAGAGACAAATTATGCAGCCTTCCTGTTTAATGAAATACTCTTGAGATCTGTCAAAAAAATGAGAACATTTCTTTTCCTTTTTCTCCTTAAATAAATTAATGAAATTTCTAGAGCAGTACTCACAAGTCACCATTTAAAATCTGCAAAGCTTTCTTTGGGGGTAATATTTGTCCCATCTACTAGTTAGGAATAAATAATTTATTTTGCACACTAGCAGCAAAGTACTGCCTGATTTTTGAGTTAGTTTTTAAGATTTTACTTTCTGTCTCTTCTCCATTTAGGTGTATGACAGGGTTGCAGATGAAGTGGTTTTGCGAATGGATGAGCGGCTCAACAGACTGATGTCTCACTGTGGCCCAGTGACTGGGTATATTTTTGCTCTTTTTGCTGTTCTGAACTTCCTTTTCTTGGCGTTTCTGAGGTGGATGACTCCAGATTCCATTATTGATGTTGCAATAGATGCCACAGGACCTAAAGGTGCATGGACTAAACAGTATTTTTTGGGGAAAAAAAAGAAGAGTTAAAGAAGAACTTCCAAGCTCCTAAAATGCTCAAATGGAGAAGGAAGAATGCATCAGTCACTAAACAAAGGTTTTAATGCTTGCTGATAGAGACACTACTCTTAAAATCCTTTAGTTTCTTTCTGAAGTTCTTGGAAAGAAACTTGGTTAAATGTGCTACCTCAATTTAGGATGATGTTTTAATTTAGTTTTGGATTCATGCAAATTTATGGACATCTCTTTTGCACTTCAAGCAGGGAGAAGAACATGGGTTTTTATATGTTGAAAGCCTTTGAGACAAAAATACAAAATTTTTCTCAACAACTGGAGTATTTTAGAAAGTGACTGTAAACTTTAGTGGTATTTGGGAAAGCAAAACACGAAAAAATATTACCTTACAGTAGTCCCTGGTAATTCTTGATATCTACTGTGCTTTTTATTTTGAGACCTATTGAAAAATATTTAATTAAAACCCCAACAAAACACACCTTTTCTAAGATGAAAACGGCACTTGAAATTAGTCATTAAGCCCACTACCATGGAAATTTCAGAGACTTAGTTCTAGCAGTTGTGACCCAGTGACAGTGTTTTGCCTGCATAGTATTATTGTTTTGAAGTTCTTCCCTAGTCAAAATTGGATCATCCTTTTGCTGAATCGAAACTCCATAATGAATTTTTAATATTTTCTGAGGTGCTAAATTTGTTCTGTTCACTTAGACGTGTGAAAGTGATGTAAAGCTTATGGCATTTTTTTAAAGTATATCGGTGAAGAAATTATCCTATTTAGAGATAATAAGCTTTCAGAAATAGCTCAGGCCTGAAAACTCCTCCAGCAGACTATGCCAAAGTGTGAAGTAACACGTGTGTGTACACATGCGCGAGAGAGAAATCTGTGAAGGGCTTAACAGGCACCATTGTGCTCACTTGCTCTCTCTCTTCCTTCCCTCTCCCTCTTAGTTTTTGGTTGGTTGTTTTTTTTTTCCCACTTCCCCTTACTTGGGACCAGAATGGCATTTCTGTCCATCTCTGGGAGGGACAGTGTTCAGTGTGCGTGATTTTACCTACACCACGTCGGGGACGCTGTCAGACAGGTTCTGCAAGTGAAATCTTGGAAAGGTATCCCTTAAATGGAACTAAGCTATAGGTATGCTTTTCGTGGAAAAAGTGGCCTCTTGCATCTGTGAGCAGTCCTAAGTAATCTATACCTGGGACAACATATGAACAAATGTGCTAAAGGAAGCATTTATCTCCTTTATGTCAACAACCCCTAAACTCCTCCCTGCCTAATGCACTGAGTTAATTTCTTTTTCAAGCATCACTGAAGACTGAAAATCTTACAGTTTAATGACTGAGTATTATGTAGTGTTGGATACTGTATTAATATCAAAAATGTGCAATATGAAAATACTGGTTTCAAAGGCTTGAAAGACAGTATTTAAAAGACAGCTTGGGTCAGTATCATCTTGTTTGTGTTGAGAGGTAACATCTGACATTTTATAACTTCATTGAACTTATTTTCATGAAACACAGGAAGATAATGTGAAATAAACGCCATATACAAAGACTATTTTCTTTTACTAGAGTTTTTAGCCTTTGATACGTAATATACAACATGCATTCTATTACAACTTGAAGTTGTCAAACTCTGTGCTCAAAGTGGAGGTCAGCTGAAATGGTGCCACACAGATTATGGATAAATGGGTAGAATTACGGTAACATTTTACTTTTCAAAGTTACTTTCTTTTAATAACGTGCAAGTTTGTAACAACTTTTTTAAAAATACTGATTATCATTCCAGGAGGATGTTATATATATTTTTTTACATAATATTTTGTTGGTTCTGGCTTATTTCTTTTTGGTTTCTTGCAACATCTACAAACAGAAATTTTCAACAGGATTGTGAGAATCTATTGAAAATAATTCTCTCTTTTCTTTTGTGGAACATTGTGTACTTATGAATAACATAATAAAACCTTGTTATAATCTTGTTCACAAGACAAATTAACAGTTTATCTAAAAGTTTATTTACCCTTCCATAATATGTGGGAACATGCAATTTAAAAGTACAGAAATGTATTCCATATTGCTGCTCCCCCTCACTGGTGATTGGGCTTCTTATGAGAAAGCTGATGATTAAAAAAACATTCTGCACAAGCTGCCACAAAAAATTGAATCTATAACTGGTTTAACTGCAAATATGCTGTTTCTCACGTAATGCAATTTGTATTGCACGTAACTCTGCGGGACTGATTCACTTGCCCACCTTGTGCAGGTGAGGAAGGGATGATGTCTCTGAATCATTCACCATTTAAAAAACTTCGGTGGGTGAAGTAGAGGAGTTTAAATAAAATAATCACATTAATTAAAAATACAATTAGTGATAACAAGTGTATTTTTGGAATATGTATTTAGAAATGAATAAAATATTTTAAAAATCTTAAAATGTTTCAATTGCACTTGTAGGTAACATTTGAGCATTGTGAAATACTGAGGAAATGTTACCAAATAGAGTGATGCTGACTGAGTCGTGTCTTGAACAAAGCAGAACCTCCTGTGTGGAGGAGAAGGGAACACCCAAAAACCTTCTCTCTAGAAGGTTCCCCCCCTTTTATAGAAGGGACCATTGATCTGCAATGAAATTCCATCCCACAGGCCCAAGGAAAAACTGTTTCCAATACATTATATGCAGACACTGTGAATTAAGGTATAGACGGTGTGCTGATAATTGAAAATTGTGTGTTAAGCCGGAGCAAGTATCAAGTAAGTATGACTGTAAGATTAATCTTTCAGATTGTGTTTTATAGGATGTGGGTAGGTCTGTAAGAAGGTAAATACACTGTAATGTACTTATTTTTGTGGTCAAGTTTTTCTGCATCTTTTAAAAATAAACTTATTTTTCCCCTTTTGATATTTATTTCTCTTCACTAGTCCTTTTTTCAGATATACTTAGGCTTATAAACAAATAATTGTAAAATTGCATCTTTGTGATGCTCCAGTAAAAAACAGACCTTATGTAAATAAATATAAGAACAATCAAAAGAAAATGGTTTTACAAACTTTTTAAAATTAAAAAATATTTAAATATTTTTAATGTTTTATTTTCTGTCATTAAACTACTCGTCATATTTGCTGTACATCTTTTGGGACACTCAGTAGTATGTTGACTTCCACAGGTTTTCCTAATTACTTTAGCATTGTCATAGTCGGATAAAAGGTGGGGAAAGTATTTACTGCTGGCATTTGCTTTGCTCCTGCCCAGGCAGCAGCAGGAACTAGACACCCAGACCTTAGGTGATGTGATGAGGGGTGGATAGGTGAGACAAAACACGCATCTGCTTGTGTGAGAGCAAGCAGTGAGTCACTGTTGTACACCCCTTTTTCAAAGCAGAAGGGGTGTCGTAAGTGTGCTGACATAAGGATGCAATGAGGCAAGGCTTGTATGTGTCACTCACTAGATCAAACTGATAGAAAATAAATAGCTAGGTTCTCCATACATCTTTATTATGATCACTTCCCTTTGAGATAAAGGCTTTCTGTCTCCTTTTTCCCCCCAGTCTTCTTATTTGAATGAATATATTTGATATTCAAACTTCCAACTACATACATCAGAAATTCACTGCTGAAATTCAAAGAGTGTCTATCATAAGGATAGACCAATACCTCTTTTAATTTCTTTTAGAAGAGGAGTCCTCTATCTTTATTTCTTTGCCAAATTCTTCAGGTCATATCTGACATTTCTCACTGTTAGCTAAAGTTAAGGTGAACCATAATGAAAGTGAGTTGTCTTCTAAGCTGGACTGGCTTTTCTTTTGTGCTTATTCCATGTATGTTTGTAAACTAAGGATATAGAAATATTAGCTTTCCAGTTCTTTGGAGGATCTAGCTAAGCTACTTCTATTGGTTCACCATCTCATGACACCTTTACTGAAGTATTAATACATTTTCTGGATATTCTGATTTGACAATTTAGTAATTACTCGGGCCAAAAGCTACAGTGATTCTTGGAGTTGTTTAAGTATCCTGCAGAAGTTCTCAATAGGGGATTTTTTTTCTACAGAGGGCTGACCTGTTCACTCCAGCCTGCATAATCCATCTCATTCAACTCACAGTGATGCTACCCAAAACAGAGAGGGAGGAAAAATGAGATTCCTGTTTCCATTTCTTTTTATGTCTTCTGTTGTGTTGTATGTGTTCTCATGCCTACATTATGTTTCTTACCTTTCTTTAGTTTCAGAAATACCAGATCATACCAGATCTTGCTATGGCTTATGTGACTACCACTTTCACCAGTATTAGCACTTCCCACCGTGCTCTTCAGCTGTCTCCCACTGATGACTTTTTTAATCTGCTACAGTAATTTTCCTAGTGTTCTTGTACTCAAAAAGGAGATTAAGAGCTTACATGAGCTTTTCTCAAATTACTCCACCATTTAACTAAAAATCTCAAGTTGTTTTGTTCTGAAGCCAGGAGGGTGGTTTTGCCACTACACAAATAGAGCTTGTCCTTCTGGAAGAGTCATGTTCCTGTGACTGCTTTTGAGTGGCCAAAATTCCTCATGGCTTTTTAGAGCACCTGGAGAGCTCTTCAGTATTATCAGTGCTTCACTCTCCTGTAGGGATAAGAGAACTTCAGTGGAAATCATATGATCTCCAGTTTCCTGTGTTATTCTGAGGACTGCAGACTTGTTACATTTCTACATTTCTATCTACCTACCTACCCACAGTTCTATCTCGTAGGCTGATCGTGATAGGAGATCAGTGGATTTCCTTGGCAAGGAAAAGTCTGGTTTGTAGGTTTTCTCTTAAAAAGTGCTGTTCCTTCTTACACCTCGTTGAATGCCATGAAAAAGATTTCTCCATCATTTAGGCTGACCTTTTCTTTCTAATAATTTTAATTTTTTATTTGTTTGGTCTTTTAATCTGCATCCTATATTCTGTAGTTTACACCTTTTGCTGTTACCTTGGCTTCAGGATTAGTGTTTCCACTATCATATTTTTCCAGGACTAACTGAGTCTCCCTTGTTTGGTCCACCTTTGTCTGCTAATTTCTCCTTTTGTTTTCGAGCTGAGCAAACGTAAATGTTTTTCTCTGATTCCTTAACTGAACTTCTTTTGCCATATAATCTGCATCTTCAGCTATCTTGTCCTCTGGCAAACAGTATTAAAGTGACTAAAAATAGGCAATTTTCATCTTTTGGTTTCATAAGTGTTGTAGTTTCTGCAGGTATATTTTGTTACTGTGGAAGGAAAGTTATATGTAATACTTATGTAAGGTGTTACGTTATTGGTGAAAATGTAATAACTTGGTTTAATTCAGAATTTTAGAAAAATTGATTCACTTGAAAAATGAAAAAATAGCTTGGGGTGTTTTTTTAAGTCCCCCGCACATATTTTATATAGAATCCTGGTGCATCTGCAGAATGCTGAAGATAGAAAAGTACTAAGCCAGCTGCATTGCTACAAAACAAAACAAATGGCATCTAAAATGTCCAGGGAAATAATTTGCTGTAACGTTTTTTTCTGCATATCCACCATCTCCTTGGGAACTCTGAAAGAGGAGAGTCATCTTGCTCTTTCC